CACACACACACACACACACACACACACACACACACACACACACACACTTCCCTCCTCTCTCCCTAGGCTTAAAGCTATCTCTATTTCCTTAGAAGCCTCATTACTTTTTAGTGGGAAAGGTACTGGGGCTGCTCCCAGTTGATTTTACTGTATTGACCTTTGTCTCCTACAATCTTGTTAAGCTTGCCTGTGGGCTTTAGTATGTTTTTTAATATACATATTACAGAGGGCTTTCTAAATAGATAATAATGTCATCTGCAAGTGAAGAGAGTTTTACCTCTTAACAATCTGACATTTCTTATTCTCTTCTGTGGCCACTAGAATTTTTAATACAAAGCTGTATAAAAATGTTACTGGGCCTACTGAGACTTGCATTTCATTGTCTCTTTTGTGCTTGGTACTTTTGTGCAAGGCAAGCACTCTGACAACTGAGCAAAGCTCCTAGTTTCTCATTTCTCAGTTTGTTAAAATTATAAACAATATTGGCTGTTCTTGTATTTACGGGATAAATGCTACTTGACTGTATTATCTACTATATTTTATTTTAGTGAAAATTTAAATTCATAGAATTTTAAGTAGAGAGTATACACAGACCTTAAATTCATTTCATCCCACATCCCCATTTCCCCTATTTTTAAGATCTTGCTTTAGTGATACATTTGTTAAATTAATAAACAAATATTAAAGTGTTATTTTTAACTAGTCTACAGACTCTACTGAGGTCCACTGTGTTGGGCAGGTCTATGGGTTTTGACAGTATACAACATTACAGTTTCATGGGCTGGAAAGATGGCTCAGAGGTTAAGAACACTAGCTGGTCTTCTAGAAGTCCTGAGTTCAATTCCCAGCATCCACATTGTGGCTCACAACCATCCATAATGAGATCTTGTGCCCTCTTCTAGCATGCAGGCACACATGCAGGCAGAATACTGTATAAAAATAATAATAAATAAGTCTTTAAAAAATTAGTTTCATATATAATAGCTTTAGTTTCTCTAGAATCTCCTCTAGTCCATATATTCATTCTTGCCAACTGGCTGCTAGAAAAAAGGAGTTTGGGCCTTAGTTTCAGCTGCAAGAATAGAAACTTTAGCTTGTCTCACTAATCTTGTATAGAATGTTAAGATTATGGCTTAATATCCTCTTTGAAGTCTTGGAGATGAGAGCAGAGATCATGGAACTCAGGTAGTCCTGGCCAACCTAGGGCACACAGCATCAGGTTTTTTTTGTTTTTTTCTGTGCTGAATATTGCATCCCTCATTTCTACTTCTGGCACCAGCTACACCTGTGGTACATAGTTCTGAGCTCGTATTTACCCACAGCAACCATTATCCCGCCATTTTGGTCTGGTAACAGTTTCAGGATCATCTTCAATAGTTGGGAAACTTATTTCTCCATAGACACACATCCTAGAAGCATAGGGGAAGCTACTGTCCTTGGAAGCCGCCTGAGGACCTCTGTTCTGTCTGGTAGGAGGTGCTCCGTCAGCCCTGCAGCTCTTAGCATTCAAACCTAAACTGGCAGCCTGGACAATACTTCTCCACAATGGTCTTCCCCCTCTTGTTCTTCCTGTTCTCTCAATTATACCTTCTGCGATACCACCACAAATCACCTACACAGACCAAGACCTTTCCTCAGTCTCTGCTTCAGGAGAACTACAGTAAGAATGCTAGTAATCAAACAACATCCTTCCATCTAAGCAGTTTAGGAGTTTTTCTAGGCTGTGTTTAAGTAATTGTTCAAGAAGATTTACTTGCAAGATGATGTGAGAACATTTTAACCTTAGAAATGTAATGAGGCAACAAAGAAGTCGATGACAGCCATAACTGCTCATTCTGAACCACATTGTCATCACTGCCAATATTTCCATTTGGTAATAGATACAATAAAATATCTTACTTTGACCATGTATAAACTATTGGCCAAGGCATAAAAAGATATATATGTATTAAATACAATCAATGAATTCCATAATAGAAATCAAACAATGTCAGAAAATCTCAGGACAGTATTACTTTCTGCCAGAAGTGTTTTTCAATATGCTTATGAAATAAATGTATATAAGAATTTTCAAACAAACATGTTCACTAAATTGAATGTATTTAATCACATTGTTATTTTTACGTGAAGTCTACTCTTGATCAAGTAAAGCCAAACTAATTTCATATTAGAATGCTCACTGAATCTCTTAGTATTTGTAGCACTTGTACCAATTTATGTTGTTCTATTTTTAATTTCAGAGCACTTTGTTTGATCAACAAACCATACTGGAAGGTTATAAATGCTTTATTATTATTTTTTTAAACAGAGGAAGGTTGGGGTAGGTGTGTGGCCACGGGGTCATTTTATCACCAAGAGCTAGAATCTAGGCTCTTTGGCAGAATGTAGGCAGAGCCCTCCACGTAGCTTTGTGATTCTTCTCACAATCCAGCTTAGTCACTGAAAGAGGATTCACTATCTGAACTCTCTTCTATGGCTCTTTCACTCTCACCATTAGGCACTGGAGCATCTGGCTTCCTGAAAAAGAAAGGGAAAATTTAAAGGTTTTCCCAACTGAAGACAAGCACTTACAAACTGTCAATTAGGTTCATCTTGGAATACTGCTGTCAAAAGATCTGCCACGCCTGTGTCCTTTGCTGGGAACCTCCACACTCCACCCCAGTGTGCCGCTCCATGGCTTCTGAGAGCTGCTTGAGGATTAGGTGCTATTCCTGCAGAGGCCACAGCACTCTTGCCAGCCCTCCTTACACTGTGTTCCTTCAGGACTTCCTGCATCTTATTACCATGGAGACCCAACTACAGACAGAGAAATGATCTGGAGAGACTGGCATGTCTAGCGCTAAGTCTCTGCAGCCTTGACTGCACACTAAGGTACAGAGAGGAAACTTAGGAATGAAAAGAAAATGAAAGCTGTGGAAACTCAGAAGCAGAAAGGAGTTTAGGAAGGGCTGAGAAGCACAGGCAATATGGAATTTTTTTTTGGTTGGGGGAGAAGTGCATGGTCAAAGAAAGTTCTTAACATCTACGGGATGTTTTCACTCTTTATCTATAGAATTGATATAAAAAAGTATGAGTTGGTTAAAAAAATTAGCAGTCTCAAAGACACACAATAGGAAACACAGATTGTTTATTCCCCAACTTTGTATGAGTGTGCTATTCTAAACAAAAATGAAGACTTAACAGGGCTTTGAAAAGTCACTTTGAGAGGTTGGGCAGATGGTGCAGCTGGTAAAACATTTGCCTTGCAATTATGAGGACCTGAGTTTGCATTCCTTCAAAGTACGAAAAAAGCCAGAAGTGGGGACACATGCTTGTAAGCCAGAGATGGTGCTTGAGAAGTGGAGACAGGTGGGTTCTTGAAGCTTTCCAGTCAGTTAATCTGGTCAGATCAATGGGAGACCTTGTCTCAAACAAAAGGTGGAAGAAGGCACCTGAGGAATGACATACAAGATTGTCCTCTGACCGCCACTGGACAAGCACACATGTGTATGTGTGCACCTATGCCCAGAAACACGTACCCCCCCCCCCCAAGATACACCGTTGTTTTTAATGGCCTCAGTAGTGTTTGTGCCAGGAGATCATCTACTCAGCACTGATACGCTATTACTTATATTCTATTGACTTTTACCAGAAAGCAACTTAAGCAAGAAAAGTACACAGCTGGGAAAACCAAGAGAGAAAAGACAGAATAATGAGACGCTATATGTTCCTAACTTAAATTATCAGATTTATTTCTGCCTCAGGTCCCTTGGTTCTTATTAAGCATTCAGGAGATTCATTGCATAGAAATTATCACTAAATGAGGCAATATGTAGTCTACTTGTTACTTTTAGCTACTCAAAATTATGGCTAAAATATGGTTTATTGATTTTAAGATATGTCGCTTGCTTGCTACTGAACAAAAAAAGAAAATGCCAACACTGCTCTACCCATCAAATATAAACTAATTTACTCTGCTGAACAATTTTAGACTATGCCTTTAAGGCAGCCATATGTACCCAACAATGAAAAGTTTCAAAGGTCTGAAGCAGAATTTCCAAGTTTGATTGATGCTCTATCTGCCTAAAATACAGGCCCATCCACTTCATCATCCTTCCCACAGGCAACAAGCTCTGGAAGCAACTGGCACAGAATGGGGCATGTGATCCTTGTTATGTTTCTATTTGTTGTATGTTCAATTTCTAACATCTCCATTTTTTGTCTTTTGAGACAGGGTCTGGAACACATTCTGTAGACCAGGCTGGCCTCAAACGATATCTGCCTGTGTCCGTCTCCCAAGGGCTGGGATTAAAGGATGCACCACCATATCCACCTTTTACTTTAATTTTAAAGAAAAAAACATTACTACAGGAACTTATTTCACTACTATATAAAATTATTACTATCTATGTCAACTCAAGCAAATAATGCAATGTACACATTTTCCTAAAATACATGCTCTTAAAGAAAAGGGTTGGCTGGGTAGGGTGATACATGCCTATAATCAGTATTTTCAAGGCTGAGACAGGAGGATTGCTATGAGTCTATGGGTCATCTTGGCCTACATATCAAGATCTTGTAAAACAAATACTTAAAAAAAAAAAGAAATTGAAAGGGTAAATATAGTTAAATCTAGAAAGAAAAACTTTTAGTGTAAAGTGCAATATGACCATTTGAATAATATTAATCCTGTGGAGCCATAAACATAAGAGGACGTGCCATCTTGAATCTTCTACAAATTTTGTCTCCAGTGATTTATAGTTTCCATGGCCATTAACATCTTTGGGAAAGTTTATGCTTAGGTTCTATTTCTCTTTGTTTTGAGGCTATCATAAATGGGATTGATTTCTTAGCTGTTTCTTTTCAGAGAGTTCAGTGAGAGAAAAGAAAAGGCCTTTATCCCCCACCAGTCCTCCTCGTCTCTCTTCCCCTCAGCTCTTGTCAACATGCTCGCTCTGGAACCTGTTACTTTGCTCAAAGTACAAGGTCTTCTGGTGGCCGTGGGGTCTTTAAATGGCAAGATCATATCATCTGCAAACTAATGGGGCAGATGGAAATGCATACAAATTGTTACATAGTGTGACTAGACCTGTTGGTATGAGAAAAGAGTAAGTAAAATTGGTGTAGACAGAGAAGACCCAAAAGAAGTGAAAACACAGGTGGAGTTTTCACAAAGCGGCAAGGCTTCCCCAGAAACAGAGAACGGCGGAGTAAGGTGAGCACACTCTGGGCAGACAGAGAAGCAGGAACACTGCCGCATGCTACACTTGGGAAGGCAGGCCTTTGGTTTGCCAGTGTTAGGTTGTTGGGGCAAACAACAGGCATTAGGATGTGTGGCAGGTCCAGTAGGAGGGTGGGAGATGAGCCTCAAATGAGACTCTTTAAGTCTCATCTTTACAATCGACATGTAATGCAGATACGAGGGAACTCAACCCTTAAGATGGTGCTTGGCAGATGCACGAGGCTGCGCAATACCACCACCACTTAATTCTATTTTTATGACTGTGAAAAGCAGCTTCTACTCATCCCCCTTTACCCTAACTGCTGGCAGCTAACAATGAGCTGCTTCTTCTAAAGATCTGTCTGTTCTGGACATCGCATATAAACAAGATCACATGATGCCCATTTAGTGTGTCTACCCTCTTTCAATCAGCATGGTGTCATCAAAGTTTGTCACAGTGCAACACAAAGGCATGCCATTGTTTCTCCTGGCTGATATTATTCTCTTGTATACAATACCTTATTTTGTGTATCCATCATCAAATGAAGGACATCAAGGTTGTTTTACTGCTTTGTTATTACAAACAATGTCACTCTGAATATTTGTGTACAGTTTTTTTTTTAAACACATTTCTGAGGCATGTGTTAGCTGTGTACCTTAAGAAACTCATTAGGTATATTCCTTGCACATGTTACATAAGGACATTTCACACCAGTAGAAAATGTATACTGAGCACAATCACCTTCTATTCTCTTCTCCCACCCCACTCCCATTTGTCCCCTTCGTTCTCCTAGACAGTTTTGCTTTTACTTTCATGACATATGTACATTTATGATTACCATAAACAAGAGAAGACATATTTATCTTCTTAAGAAAGAAAGAGACTCATGTTTAATTAAGTATATACACATAGGTGTGAGTGTGTGTTTGTGCATAGCCAGAGGAGGGTGTCAGGCCTCCTGGGGTTGGAGTTACCGGCAGTTGTTTGTTATTCAGGTTTTGTTTTATGTCTTCAGCTCTCTGTGGATAATGTGTAGCTCGGTCTTCTCCCAACTCTGCAGGCTATCTATTCACTGGGTCAGTCACCTCCTTTGCCTACAGACCGTTCTAGCCTTATCAGGTTCCACCTGTCAGTTGTTGGCAGTGCTTCCGAAGTGGTTTTGTGTTATTCAGCAAGCCCCTGTCTGTGTTTCTATCTTAGAGTGATTTATTTCTCCACATTTTCCTCTAAATGTTTCAGAAGTCCAGGTCTTAACAGTAATGCTTTAATCCATTGGAGTTGATGCTTATACAGGGGGAGGGATGGAGTAAGGAAAAAGGAGAAAGAGAGGGAGAGAAATAGAGGTAAAAGGAGAGAGTGAGGGAGAGAGAGGGTGAGGGAGAAGAGGTAAATGGAGAGAGTAAGGGAGAGAGAGGGTGAGGGAGAGGGGGTCGGAGGGGAGAGAGGGGATCAGACGGGAGAGAGGGGGCTGGAGGGGAGAGAGAAGGCGAGGGGGAGATGGGGTTGGAGGAGAGAGAGGGGGTGAAAGAGAGAGACGGGGTCGGAAGAGAGAGAGAGGGTAAGGGAGAGAAGGGGTCGGAGGGGAGAGACTGCTTTCATTCCAGCACATGTGGAAATCCACTTTCCCATCTCCAGTTATTAAGAAGCTGTCTTTTTTCTAATGTATATTTTTGTCATCTTCGTTAAAAATCTGGTGGCTGTTGCTTTGTGGGTTCATATCTGAGTCCTCTACTCCGTTCCATTGGTCTGTATGGCATTATTAAGGTTCTGTGGTATAAGTTGGAATCAAGAGAGCAAAAATGTCTGTAGAATAGTTGTCTCCAGGATAAATGTTAGCTGAGCTGGCTCTGTTCAAGGTCAACGCAGTTTCTGGATCCAAATCCGTAAGAAGCATGCTGTACCCCTCCCCTCTAGATTAAGTGTGTGACCAGCCGAATCTTAATTCCAGAAGTCTACCCTTAGGATGGTGTCTTAGTCAGGGTTTCTGTTGCTGTGATCAAACACCATGACCCAAAAACACGTTGGGAGCAAAGAAAGGGTTTATTTGGCTTATACTTCTACATTGAGTCTATCACTGAAGGAAACCAGGACAGGAACTCAAACAGGGCAGGAACCTGGAGGCAGGATCTGAGGCAGAGGCCATGGACTACTGGCTTGCTTCCCCTGGCTTGCTCAGCTTGCTTTCCTATAGAACCCAGTCCCACCAGCCCAAAGACGGCACCATCCACAATGGGCTGGGCCCTCCCCAGTTTATCACTCACTAAGAAAATGCCCCATAGGCTTACCTTCAGCCAGCTCTTGCAGAGGTAATTTTTCAATTGAGGCTCCCTCCTCTCTGAGGACTCTACCTTGTGTCAAATGGACATAAAACTGGCCAGCACATATAGGAAGGGGCCCAGGAGGACAGCATCTGACTACCTTCTCAGCTCCAAATCTAATCCCCAACAGAGGGTAAAAATAAAATATCTGTCCTTTGCTACATATTTGGAAGTAGAGATTTTCAGTTTGAGAAAATAGAGTATAATTTTAAAAGATGTTATTCTGTGTATGAAATATGCCTGTTGAAAACATGACAGTATACAGGCAACCTCAGGATTATAAACAAGTTATGACCCCAAAGCTTGGTAAATCCATTGTTTAGAATTTCCGAATATTCTTCCTTAACACACTCACAAATCACAGCTAACATTCATTAAACACTTGCTGCTTGTCCACAGCCCTTCTGAGCACCTACAGCATTACCAAGGAGCTAACCTTGCTGGTTCCTGTCTTATTGATCACCCATGGCTACAGACATAGAAAGAGGCAGGGCAGGCTCCAATCCCAACTGCTGCGTGCTGAGTGTCTCTAGTCTAACTGAGCCCAAGCTTCCCTTCATCACCACGAGCTTGCTCTTAAGATGCACAGCATCAAAGGCCAATCTGCCATCCCAGAGGCACAAGCGTAGTCATTACTAGGCAATACCAATATTAGTTCAGAGAAACAAAGGGGTGAAACTTTTATTTCCTGGTAAGAAAATCTGGACACTGATTGAAAGAAGTTTAAAAGCATGATTTACTCATTCTGTATTTCTGGATAAAACATAAGGCAGCTTAATCTCTGAAAAAAGACTAATGAAAAGTCTTAATTTTCCTCTCAAACTCTAACTCTGACAGTGATATTCCCATGTCTTTTTATATCAGTAACACCAAAACTAATTTTGAGAAACTGAACATTTTTAAAAAGTCATTAAAACAATTAGAAGTATCCAACAAATACTTATTTAGTAATTATCAAACATTTTTGTTGAATATCTCAAATGTGAGGATAGACATTAATTGTCCAGTAAAACTGCTGATGTTTATCATATAAACATTTACTTTAAGAAAGTGTGCTTTTAGCTTCCAACTTTTAATGTACAACAGCCTGCTTACTAATCGGTGTTTACTTCTCCCTCAACTTCAATGTGGCTCTCTGTTCAGGACAGAAGATCTAGACTACCTCTTTACGGTGTTTACTTCTCCCTCAACTTCAATGTGGCTCTCTGTTCAGGACAGAAGATCTAGACTAGCTCTTTGACAGTTATATGAGTTTGTTATTACCTGAAGCTAGTGAAAACAGAAAGCATATGCTTATAATTCTGAAGAAAATAGAATCAGGACACTCTTTACTGAAAGTTCTTGGGTGAGGCTTATTTTGTACCTAAGATTCTAAATAAAACTGTGCTCTCCTTGGATGGCACACTTCCTTCTTGGACATCATGTTAGACTTCTCCCCAAGTGAAGGTCCCTATCTTGTGCAATGCCGATCCTGCAGCACCAGAAGTCCTCTGTGGACAATGTGCCTGTTGCACTGACAGTAAGCTAAAATGGAGATGGAAATGGTTGTAGTGGAGGCTGCTTAAGTGAGTCAGTCCACTTCAACCAGTGCCCCTGGTGGCCACTGGTATGTACCTATGAGGTAATGGGTCAGAAGTCAGCCTCTAGGCAGTGGTGATGGAACGGCTTTTCTGTAAGGCCATGCTAACTGTTACTGGAATCCTACCCTACATCCTGGCACCCACTGCATCCCAGCCGAATGTTTCTCAACATTTATAGACAATGACATACACCCAGATTTGCTAAGGGTAATACAAGAGCACATTGAGTGTGTGGGGGTTTCTCCCTTGGATCACTACTTGCAGATCTCATAGGTAACAATCCTCATGAAGAATAATGGGTTACCTACGCCAATAAGATAGGGGAAAGGAGTTCCAAGGACAGTTAAGACAACATATAAAAATGCCAGAAGGGAATAGAAAGATGGTCTATTAAGAGAAATGGTCATTTGCAACAGCAGCACAAAATAAACACATACAGAAGTAACAAGAGCTTGTGAAATAATCCAAGACATGATGGGAAAAGTATTTACATGCAACAGTTAGACACTGTATGTTGAAGAATGAAGTCATGAACAATCCACTTGGCTTTACTGTGATGGCTTGAAAGAGAACACTAAAACAAACTAGGTGCTACTGAAATAATTCAGGTGAGAAATGATGAGATCCAGGACAATCAGCAATGGGTATATAGGCATGGTACCACATGGAAGTGGTCTTAAAATGAGAGAAAGCATAGTGACTGACAAAGTAGAGGGAGGAAGAAGCAAGATGCTCTTCAGGGTGCTAGGATGAATAGTTGCTTCCATGAAGGGGCCATGTACCAGAGCTCGTTTGGGAAGAAGGTGAAACGAAGCTAGCAGCAGGCAAAGACTGCACACATAGCCAGTGCAGACGTTTGCAGGACACCGGCTTCCCTGTGAGTCCAGAGTGAATCTCATCATTTTAACGGTCATTTTTGCTCTTTGTTATTAGTTATGGCCTATTGTGTATTTCCAGAAGCAAAGAGTCCCAATCGATGGTAAATGTACTCACAATTATACAAAGTGAGTACCAAAATAGATTAAATCCAAATGTTCAATTCTTATTAAAATACATGCCACAATTCATCTACTGTTAAAATGTCAGAAACCATTTCCAGAACACATATTAAACATTCCAGATATGCTTTTGTTCACGCCACCAAGCCCCGCCTGGTTTTCAAGTCGCTTCTTTTGCCACTTGAAAACACGCCAAATGAACCTACATACTGGAAAATCCACTGTTGGCAGCTTAAGGCATTCTTGAATTTCAAAAGATAAACTATGAGAAGATGACTTTTATGGTGTTTCATTTCCAAAATGCACACCTTTTTCTGAAGTGCTAGAGCCAAGAAAAATTCCAAAGCATTACTGCTAGCAGGGTTTGAATGCCGAGGTACCACAGGCTGAGTGAGAGCTCCCGCTAGAGAGACCTTTACAGGCATCTGGATACTTGTAAAGCAGAAGAGTTGTGAAGAACCCGTTATGATGTATAATTTATTGAGATGAACTACATAGCAAGGTTGGCTTGGATGCGATGAATTATTATCAAAGTTCTGAGCTATGATATCTCAGCAGTTCTAAAAATTATTTTATAATACACATACAAACTGGCATGTATTTCAGAATAACTATTAATGTGCACCCCGGATGCTGTTTGTCCTCATTACTTCTCAGTCTTGCTTACTCCAGGTCATGGTGAATACATTTATTTTATTTTATTTTTTATAATTTATTCAGTTTGTATTCTGGTTGTAGCCCCCTCCCTCATCTCGTCATGGTCCCATCCTCTGTCCCTCCCTCTTCCTCCCCTATCCCTCTCCCCTAATCCACGGATAGTGGAGGTCCTCCTCCCCTACTGTCTGGCCCTAGCCTATCTGGTCCCTTCAGGACTCCTGGACTCTTATGTACTACAGCCTTAAGTAAAAAGCATGTAGATGATACCTAGTCACATCAAAGTCAGCATGGGAGAAAAACAAACAAACAAACAAACAAACAAACAAAACCCATATGCCCAGCCACCAAATTCTGACCAGATTCATCGATGAATTTCATCTCCTGAGGTGTGCAAGGGCTGGTTTTAGTAGTCCATTATATTTCCGTTCCTTTTTTTTTTTTTAACCCTATCAGGGACATGATTCATGATGATATTCTCAACTATAAAACACTGTATAGGAAACACTAGAGAGAGCTTCAAATTTTTTTCTTATACTCAACAAAGTTACTATCTCATCAATGTGATTTTGTCAGAAATATTACTTACTCAAGAAGCTCTGGATCTAGTCCTTCTGATATCATTTTGTTTCTGATTGCCATCACTGGAACACCCTATCAAAAAGACAAAAGGTAATAACAACACAGTTAGAAAGCCTTCATTCTCTCTGTGTGAAGCAGCTCCCTTTGGATTTATGGATGATTGGGCAAAGCACTTGGATGATTCAGGGCACAGTTTACACTGACCTGATAGAGACAGCACTGTCTAATCCACATAAAGCCAAACTAGGTCCCTGGGACTACCTTAGTGCTGCCACTGCCGCTATGAGGGACGAGGGGACTACATTCTCACCAAAGGATGGAAGACATCGAGCACTCAGATGATGAGTTTGGCTAAACTGATAGAATTGATAGTTAACTGTGCTTTTCAAATAGAGTGTGGAGCTTTTCAAAACATAGCGTGTATAAATGTAAATGTTCACATAGTAAGTAAACACCCGTCTTCATCTGACACCTTAGGAATGTAGAGTATCTTCTCAACATCTCTACAAACGTGCAGCCAGGACCTCAGAAGTAGTAAGCTGAACAACATTGACAACACATGAGTATCTGCATTCAGCTTAAGAATATCAAAGTAGAAGAAAAGGATACATCAGAAATGGATACAAATGGACTTGAAAACTCATTTGATGAGTTAACAAACTCCAAACCTTCACATCACTGAATGTGGCTGTCACAAAACCTCTGGCAGCAGTAAATGGTTTCTGAAAGCAGTGCTCTCCAAAATAAATTCAAAACCAAGTGTGTAATGAATCTGAGGTGTGTCTGTCAGTACTTGCCTGTGTTGTGGCCTGGGACTCTGCTAAAGCTTTGGCTCTCAACACAGCGTGCGACTTTGGCCTGTACACCACGCTGCATGGCACTAGGAACACTACCTGAGACCCCTCTGCTCAGGTTCAGTACTATTGCACGCTGTGAACTGCAGTGCTCCTTCTGTAATATGTCCTTACAGAAACAGCAGAGTACTTATGGAAAACAAACTTTTGTCATAGTTTCTCACTATTGTTCCGCAGCATATAAATGTCAATTTAGTGTAACTCGGTCTGAAGTGTGTCCAGATGTTTGAAGTTAAAAACTACTGTTTGAAAACAGTTTGGTTTGGAGACGGTTCAGTGGTTAAGAGCACTTGCAGCTCTCCTAGAGGCCTGGAGCTTGATTCCCAGCACCTGTGTCAGGAAGCTTACAACTTGTTAGGAGCAATAAGGTCCTTGTGCTCACGGTTGAGCACTAGGGAAACCAGGAGCATTAAACACAAGGTTGTCTCTTCAGTGAAGAGACGTACGGCCCGTTCTCCACCCAGGAGGCTGGGAATGAAGGTTACCAATAGCCTAGGTGATCCCTGTGCTATCTGTACTGGGGGAGGGGCTCACCAAGCTAACAGAGCAGCTCTAGGCAGTTGCTGGCTGTGGTGGGAGAGAGGGTCAGTTTTCTGCCGGGACGTGGCCCCTGGCAGGCTGCCATGCCTCAGTGACTGGCCCTACGCACACGCACATGCTGGCAGTACTAACTGGTGTCCGTGGGTTAAAAAAATATAAAAAGGCATGAGTTGATGTTGGGAGACGTGGGGGTGGGTGGTGTGGGATCTATTTGACTATTTAGGAAAATAGAATGAAAGAAGTTGAGAACATCTTATTTTCCAAAAGCACTGATATCCTAAGGATAAAGGGGGAAAAGAACTGAGTTCATGCCATATTTCCTAAAGACAACAAGAAGAACCAACCAGCCTCTCAGCTTCTATTAAGTGTGATCTGATGTCAGAAGGTCTTTCTGCAAACACAACTATGTGATTTATTTATCATGTTCACACAGGCCAAGGCCATCACTGAAAAGGTTACAAAAATAAATTACAAAACCCAGAAAACAGAGGGAAGAAAAATGAGGTTAGAAGAAAACAAACAAACAAACAAACAACAACAACAAAAAAAAAGGCAAAAAACTCCAACACCAGAATCTCCTAAAATATAGCACAAAAAAAGTATATATGGGGCAAAAGGGAGAATAGGTGGGGATAAGTGAAAGCCAGGGACGTTGGTAGAATCAGATAAACTCTCCATTTTAATAGATTCATGGGACTGACTCTAGTGAAAGAATAATAGAAATCTGAAAACAAAGCTAGTATTTTAACTTTACTTTTCTGCAATTGGTTTCAGAAAGAGGGCACAGAAATACCCACAGTCCGGTAGGCCTCTGTCACTTTTGTACACTGACACAGGTAAAGGACAGCACAGCCTGTTTCCAGCCTCCTGTTATGCAGAGGCTTAATGTAAATCTCATGAAGCTTGACAGAAAACAAAACCACCAAACTGGCCTGCGTTCCAAGGATGTGTCCCAACAGCGCCCGATGTTCTATCTGCAGTGAGGTTGTTCAGGGATCTGCCGTTTGCTACAGTTTTTCCTAGGATGTCAAGTAAGAGTCTGGTTTGTTGACCTTCAAAAAGAAGTGTCCAATTTCTAATAGAGAAGAGACAAAGCTACTGGTGGTCTAAGGAGGACACAGGAGACCTCGAAACTAAGTCTACGGAACTGTGGGATTGTTTTTGGCAAGTGATAAGGGCAGTTTGTCCAACATAAGTAATGAAGAAGGGAGAAGGCAGCCATGGGTCTGGTGTTCCAGAAAATCATGTCTGCATTTGCGTCACTGGAGAAAGTGTGTCAAGAAGCCACGCTAATGAAATTAGGAGGGCAGTGCTAATGGTTAAGTACCAGTTTCTTATATCACAGAAACTGTCTGGAGGTTGCCAGGCCTGCCAACATTTACACATATCTGCTATTGTGTTAATGAAAACCAAGCTACTAAATCTCTCTAGAAGCCATGTTGAAATTCTGAAGTTTCAGATCTGAAGGGGTGCTGTGTGTGTGTGTGTGTGTGTGTGTGTGTGTAGGGGAGAACTATGCTTCTTGAACAAAATAACAAAAACAAATCCTTGTATTTTAGGGTTTTTTTTTCTCTCTCATTTTATGAATTTGAATCCAGTAATTTAGTCATAAGAAGAGGAAAATGTGAGGTTCTTTCCTTACATGGAGCAAGCATGATAAAAGCTGACCATGTGCATAGGAAGACAGAACTGGTTTTGCGGAGGGACTAGTGCTGACACCTAAAACTCGAGCACTCCAGGCTCCCACAGAAGATCCCAAGGCTGGGGCCAGTCTGGGTCACACAGCAAGACTGCCTCAAACCACTGTCCTCTGCATGGAGAGAGGTGTGTAGAAAGTGTAAGCTGCTATAGCTGGAAAAGGAGCACCTACAGTCTCATCAGCTTCGTAATGTGCTGAAATGGACTCAACCATATTTTTGCCTTCTGGTGTTTCAAAAGTGCTATTTTTAACCTTTTTTTTTTTTTTTTTTTTTTGAGACAGGATTTCACATAGTCTAGGCTTGCTTTCAAATAAACTATGTAGCCTAGGGCTGGTCTTGAATTCCTGATCCACCCTGCCTTCACCTCCCAAGTTGTATCACAGGCAAGAATCTCTATGGTTAAGAACGTCCCCCCTCCCCTCACCTACCCCCATCCCCTTTTTGAAACAGGTTTTTTTTCTGTGTAGCCCTGGCTGTGCTGGAACTTGCTCTGTAGACCAGGCTGGCCTCAAACTCATAAAGATCTGCCTGCTTTAACCGCCTGAGTGCTGGAATTAAAGGTGTGCACTTCACTACTTGGCAAGAATAGCATTTTGAAAACACCACATTTTACAAAATGGTATGGCCTTATGTTAAAGATAAATTTTCTGATAAAGTATATATATAATTTGTTTGCTGACCAAATAATAAAACAAAACACATGTTGAATGATTTTTTTTCCCCCTGGGAGCTTCTAGCAAATGAATATAAAATTAATTTAAATAAATACTTTCAAACTTTAACATTAATATAGCTATCTAAAGAAGAAAGTGCTGTTACAAAGACTTATGCAGATCAAGAAAATACTCTGTTCTGTTATTACCATGAGGTTGTTTCTGCTGTTTTCAACTTAAATCTAAAAATGTATGAGGGTCACAATTCTTGCCTACTAGCAAACTCAAGTCATTTCTAGGAAAAAGAACAGTCACTGATTTCTTTCACAAGGATTATTTCAAGAGATGAGTGTCCCAGCTGGAAGAGCTTTCTCATTGATAGCCATCAGCTATCTTTAAAGATGCAGGGACAGCTCACTGGCAAAAATGGGCAAAGGCCACATCAGCCACTCTCAGGGCCCAGAAAGGTGTAAGGAAATTACTGTGACTTTATTAATAAAATAAATTTTAGCAGTTCTGTCTCTTACCTCTAGGGGATAAGAAATTGAAGTCTACCTGGTTGCATATGAAGTTCTAAAAGCGTTAAGAAAATCATTTCTAAAGTTAGAAATCTATTAGGAGAAAGTTTAAAACACAGCGACATCAGTTTCCCCTTGTGACTAACACCCTCCCGTGCCCCGTAAAACACACTCGTAACACGATACATTTCCTGTGTTAACATCCAGCAGAGTGAAGAAAATGCTTTCTTTGCATTTGTAACTACTCCAGTATTTGTTGATTTAAGAGTAATTTGGTGGTTTGGGAGACCCAATTTCTTCTATTTACTATCATGTAAAAAATGGTATATAGAATTTGCTTATTTTTGTTTTCTGAGACAGGCTCTCACTATGCAGCCTTGGTGGCCTGGAGCTGACTGTGTAGACCAGGCTAGTCTCAAACTCACAGAGATCCACCTGCCTCTGCCTCCCGAGTGCTGGGTTTAAAGGTTTATCAGTGGTGGAACCATTCATTACCTCATTCCCCTCAGAGGATAGCTTCTTTGTAAAAAAATGTATTCACTTGTATTTTACATTTCTATATCATATTTTAAATTTCTAAGAATAAACTTAGAAATAATTTTAAAATATTTATTTAAGTTACACATATGTGTGCGCGCCTGCGTCTATACAGGGTGTGCGCACATGAGTGCAGGTAGTCTCATAATCCAGAAGAGGGCACCAAGCCCTGCAGTTAGAGCTGCTGGTGGTTGTGAACAGTGTGGTGTGGGTGCTAAAACAGAACACATGTCCTCTACAAGTGTAGAACATACTTCATACTACTGAACC